TTTGTTCCCAAACACATCTCCGCACTGCTAAAGATAGGAACTCACACTGGGATTGCCCTCCTCCCCGCCCATTGACAGCTAGCTGGGCTGGTGCCCCTGCCTGGTCCTTGGGCTTCTCTGGCTTTCTCTATTAGACTCACAGCTCTAGACTGAACAGCCTCTTAGACTAGGGAGTTGGCTCCCAGTCTTCTATGAACCTGACAGATTTCCAGTGAAAATCACTCTTCTTTATATGAGGGCTGGGCAGACTGAGTTCTAGGAAGACATAGTCTAGCCCTTAAGATAAGACGGTTGGTCTGGGTGGTAGGTTTTGGTCATGTGGCAGGTTTTGGGAGTTGCCCCCACTATGTGCTGCCCTTTCTGTGTCCCCACTATGTGCTGCCCTTTCCGTGCCAGGCACCAGTGTTACTTCTGTAGACTGGAAGCTGAGGGAAGAGAGACCTAAACCTTTGGCAGAGCCTGTAAGCTGATGAGACTCCAGGAGCACATGGAAGTGACCTCTGGTGACTTTTATGGTACTGTGTTCTGCTGATTATGTGCTGGCAAAAGAGCGGTGGGCATGGGGGAGTGGGTGTCAAGGTCTGAGTCAGACAGACACATCTCCCCAGCCTGCAGCTCCTGGGGAGTGGTTATCAAGGTCTGGGTCAGACAAACACTCCTCCCCTGCCTCCGGCTCCTGGCCTTTCTTACTCCCATGCTCACAAGTGGCCGGTTTCCAAGGAGAGGATGAGGAGGCCGAGTTTGAGTCCACCCAGTAACTGGAGAGCTCAGGAAGGTGCTGCCATGCCCACAGGCCTGTGTCAGCCTCTTTAGCGCCCCTGTTTCTATAGGCTAATGAGGGAAGTGTGTGAGCCACTGGCAATGATGGCGGGATATTAACTGTGACAGGAAGCTTGATCATAATTATCTTAACGAGGATAGGGTTAATTACAGTGGAAACTTAAAACTTTCCTCTGTTTGACTCCACCGGAGCCAAATGCATTGTGATGTTTTGTCATTTTGATGTGACTTTGGAAAATGCGCTATTACTCTTCCCAGGACAATCACAAACTCCTGAGAGAGCCCAGGGGGCAGGGTGACCAAGATGGTACCTATGGGTGTGGTCATGCCAGCTTTCCCACTGGTGCCTAGGGAAGGAAGCGGCCTGAAGCCTGATCTGGAGATGTGGATGAGATTGACAGAATAAACCACCTGTCCAGAGTGGGAGCCTCCCTAGTCTCTCTACTGGTTTCTCCCTGTAGTACAAGAACACTGTGACTCCCTCCAGCCTCCAGCTCATAGCCCTCAGGCACTGCAGCTACCACCCAGGGAGTGGCCCTGGAGTGACAGTCAACTCTCCATCCTGGTGCATTTTGCAGTCTACACATTAGCTTAGACCACGTTATTATCTTCCCTGTAAACCACTAGTGCCATCGAAGGAAAAGGAAGCGCTGTGCCTGGACTTCGACAATCTTTTTTTTTTGTTTTAGACTTGTCATTTTATGCAACAGTGGTATCTCCACCTGCAAGAATCTGCTATGGGGATAATGAAAGCAGGGATTATTGCAAGAAACTCCTTCCTGATCATTTCTTTTGGAAAATATCAGTAACAGACACTGGAAAACATTACAGAGTAAAAAGTGAAGCCCTTTTCCCTCACATTGCTGCTTCCGACGTGCCATTGGAACTCCACAAATCCTTTTCCCTGCTGCCTCTCCCTCATGTAGTCTGCTGCCTCCAGTACATTAGCTCTATGCTAATGTGAACACATCCCCAAGAGCTGACACCAGCGTTGAACACAGCACCCTCCTGTATAACACAGTCTCCTTTTCCTGAGCACTAATAACATTACAGGAGGAAAAAAAGGAATGTGGAAACCAGATTTGGATTTGGTGGGGCTGGCCCCTGAGGTCTCCCTCCCACACGGAGCTGTGACTACAGCAGGTTGTGTGGGGAGAAAGACGCTGCCTTGGGGGCGGTGCCCTTGTACCTTGGGGGCGGTGCCCTTGTGCCTTGGGGGCGGTACCCTTGTGCGTTGGGGGCGGTACCCTTGTGCCTTGGGGGCGGTGCCCTTGTGCCTTGGGGGCGGTGCCCTTGTGCCTTGGGGGCGGTGCCCTTGTGCCTTGGGGGCGGTGCCCTTGTACCTTGGGGGCGGTGCCCTTGTGCCTTGGGGGCGGTACCCTTGTGCGTTGGGGGCGGTACCCTTGTGCCTTGGGGGCGGTGCCCTTGTGCCTTGGGGGCGGTGCCCTTGTGCCTTGGGGGCGGTGCCCTTGTGCCTTGGGGGCGGTGCCCTTGTAGTGTACTGGCATTGTCCCTCTTCATGCTGTGTCGTCTTGTTTTGCGCTTCCTCAGAAGCAGTCTGGGAAGGGAGCTTTCCTCTGCTTGCCAGTTGCCAGCCCTTTGCTGGTTCTCATGATAAAAATGCAATATTTGCATAACATAACTTGGAACAGTGTGTATCTGAATGTTGCCTTTGACCAGAACCCATCTGATGCTGGTGCACAAAGAACTCGTTAGCTGCCCAGAAGGCTTCCTGATGGGGAGGGAGGAGGCAGCTCCACTCCCCCTGTGGCAAGCATGGACCTGGCCCTGAAGCGTTGTGGTTAATGGGCTTGGTTCACTGATTCCCATGGAGAAAGGGACTCTTTGGCTAGAGAATTGGATTTTATGATCAGTATTTGATCCCCATAAACCCAGCAACTAGGCCTGGTAAAGCATGCCCAGAACCCTAATACTGGAGGATCAGAAGTTCGAGGTCATCCTTGGCTACAGAATGAGATTGAGGCCAGCCCAGGATATGTGAGAGCCAGATGCAAACAAACAAACAAACAAAACAAAACAAATAAAACCCAAACTAAATAAAAGCCAAGGACTTTAGAGAGCCCGAAGATTGCCTGCACCTGGGCTGTTCATCAGCACTCCTGCTGTCTTTGCCCCTACATCAGATCACAGTTGGGATAACCCAATGGATGGCGGCAGGAGGAGGCTACACTGACTGGGAACACAGTCCTTGTTTGGGACGGAGGGGAGCTTGAAGCACTTGTGTACAAAAGTCTCCTCAGTCTCCCTGAAATCCTGAGCCAGGAGACACACAGAGCCAGGCTTCAGTATGCCCCAGCTCAGGCTGTGAGGAGTTGGAGGGGCTGAGACCAAGCCCATAGCCCACCCCTAACCCCCAAAAGGGAGGGCTTTCTTCTTTTTCTCTCTTTATTTCTCTCTCTCTCTCTCTCTCTCTCTCTCTCTCTCTCTCTCTCTCTCTCTCTCTCTCTCTCTCTCTCTCTCTCTCTCTCCCTCCCTCCCTTCCTCCCTCCCTTCCTTCCTCCCTCCCTTCCTTCTCCCTCCCTCACTCCCTCCCTCCCTCTCTCTCTCCCTCCCTCCTTCTTCCTCCCTCCCTCCCTCTCTCCCTCCCTCTTTCTTTCTTCCCCCCAGAAGCTTACAAAACAGGATGACTCGTAAACAAAAGTGCACATTAGTTTCAGGGGTTTGTGTTTTGTGTTGGCCCAGACAGCAGGTGCTGGAACCAGAGTGGGACCCCATGAATATCCCTTAGACACAGGGCATGCAGATGGGAGCAAGCTGTGGACCCAGGGGAACCCAAAGATTTAATGAGCATGCTTTTACACATCTCAAGGGTAGGACCCCCACCCCCACACCCCTTGTTTTGTCAACCCTTTGTCAGAAAGCCCACCAGGGAGCCATAACACCTTGGGAAACTCCCATGCTCAATGTCCTTCCTGCAGTGCACCCAAGACACATACAAGATGACAGGGTCTTAGCATTGGTGCAATCAGTAAAGGGATCGCATGGCTGACACCATTCTGATCTGCTGTACTTTCTAGAGTAGCCAGGGACAGAATGGGTGTCTTTGCTTCATGGACACCATGGCTCAGCCGGCTCCAGTCTGTGCAAACTCAGCAGTCTCCTGGGCCTGGCAGGTGAACAAGCTGGGAGTCTGCCCAAGCCCTGGGACCTTCAGCGGGCTCACTTTAATTAACATTTGTGTGTGCCTGGGCAAGCATTCGTGCACAGCTACCTCATGCTCCCTCCACCCCACACACTCACAAGAGTCCCTTAGGTGAAGCGCTAATTTCAGACTCCATGGGCAAACAGGACCACCTTTTCCTTTCTGTCGGAGTATTTTTGTCTTTGAACCTGACACTTAATCCTTTTTATTTGCTGCCTCAAAATCTACATTGCTGTACTCTATGCTTAGAGAAAAAAAAAAGTCCACATTCCATAAATTAGAACTTGAGACCAAGGGCTTTGAAGCAGAAACTCTCCCAGCCCCCTGTCCCCACACAAAACCAAAACCGAGTAAAAAGAAATAAAGAAGAAAAAGCTTTCTCTTGGCCTGGAGTGATTATGTAATTCCTCCCTGTCGGGCAGCCATGGGGATGCTAGGCAGGAGCAAATTAAGTGATTAGTAAAGAAAAAAAAAATAGAGGGAGAAGAAAAAAGAGCCCACGGATGTGAAGGGAGAGAACGGCCCCTTCCTGGCCATTTCCCTTATGACTGGACAGAGGAGAACCGCTAAGAAATGATACTTGAAGTTATATTTATTATTGTAAGAGGGCTATGAGATTTCTAGGCAGGAATGATGGATGACAGCTTAAATTTGTGTCCAGGGAATGAAGGTGAACTGTGACAGAGTTATTTATCTTGGGAATGGAGGTTAGGGTCAGCCCAGGCTGGGTGCCTGAAGGCACAAGACATTGACAAATTTATCCTGCAGGCCGTATCTGAAGCCCTTTGTTTTGGATCCTGGCTTCTCAATAAGCGACCCTCATCCTTCATGTTGGCAATTCGTGAAGGATGCGGTGAGTGCCAGCGGGGGCCCCCTTCTCCCCCTCCGCCCCCACCCCGGCTCCCTGCTACTAATTCTTGTCATTCACTCTGCTGACAGGCACCAAGCCCAAACTATTCCCAGTTCTGAAAGGGAAGGTTAAAATATTTATTTCGGCTCATAATGGCCTCTCTGATTTACTGCAGGATCGTTTTCCCCCTTGCCTTTGTCATTGCAGGTCACTGGAAGGACTGAGCGCATTCAGGAGCCTGGAGGAACTCATCTTAGACAACAATCTACTCGGTGACGACCTCCTGTTGCCACGGTTACCCCGCTTGCACACCTTAACCCTCAACAAGAACCAAATATCCTTTTGGGCACCCAGCACGCCTGGTCCTTCCAGCACCCCACTTGCCGCCCAACTCCACGGGGGTCCCATTCTTCCACCCCCACACCCTTCTCCGCAAAAATACCTGCAAAATGTCAAATGAGTTTTATGTGTCAGCTAAATTAAAGTATGTGAAATACAGTCGGTGGGCAGACAAAGCGTTCTGTCTTCTGGCACTCAAGACACTTCAGAATAATTTATTATAGGTCATTCATAAATGAAATGCACCGTTATATCTTCCTGTTGCTCCATTTTAGTGTAGAGATCTAAGTTATGGCTGCGAGGAAATCTTTTTAATAGATAAAAATAGAGAAAGAAAATAATGTCACGGGCGCCTGGGAGGAAAAGCTGCTTCTGTTTGCCTGGGCTTGTGTGGGAGGGCGACCTCTGGTGGCCAGCCTTGGGTAATGCCGCTAAGCTGACTTAGTCCTTCTAGGCCTCAGGAATGGTTTTAATGTAGGTTTGGGGAACAGTTCTGGAGATCCAGAAGGGAGAGAGAGTTGAGGTGAAAAGAGAGGTGTGAAGATGGATACAGCCTTGGGTGTGATGACATGCCCATGAGAGTCATGGTAGGTTTCTGCCTCCTTTAAGTAGGTGAGTATGCCCATCCTGGCCTGAGAGTTAGGAACTAACCTCCCTGATTCTACAGTGAGACTACATCAGAAGACTTCTCTAACAGCATAGAGTACGTGGCCCCTCCAATGCTAGTGCTCTCGGTTACCAGGTACTAGGATAGGATGTCAGCTCCACCAGGCAGGGATTTCGGGATCCTTGCTGTGCACAATTCTGCCTGGCAGAGTTCACATTCCACAGATGTTTGTGGGATAAACAACATACTTATTTTCACTAGTTTCTCACAGAAGCCGTGAGTGCTGGGGACTTGAAGCACCCTACTTTTCGTTCTTACCAGGTCCAATGAGGAGGGCATAGGTTTTCCATTTATCTCGTCTTAGAAACTGAGGTTATGTATAAACTCCTAGTCAAACAATGAACAAAATTCATTGGAGACCTGAATTCAAGCTCAGCCACGATTGTATGCTGAGGGTTTGTTTGGTTGGTTGGTTTGATTCTGCTGCAGATCTTTGGGCTTGGAGTCCGATTGCCTAGCATATTGATGTCAAATCACTTATTCCCACTTCACACAAGTTAGAAACAGAGACCCAGCATTATTCTTCCTGGTTATAAAGTAAAAACAGATTCATATGTTAAGTTCAGCGTGCATGCTTATATCAGCATTTAGGATGCTTTGCAAAATTGTTTATTAACCCCCATTGGTGCTGAAAGCTGTAAGTTAATATTTTCCTTAATGTATAAAATATTGTCTCAGTCAGCTCTTGCTGCCGTGACAGGATACTGTTGACTGGGAAGCCACAAACGAGTATTTGTCGCTCATAGTCTGGAGGCTGAGAGTCTGAGAGCGGGGTTCAGCAGGAGAGGGGTTTGACGATGAGTCCTCTGCCTGCTCTTACGTTGGGGGTGGAGGGGGAGGAGGGAGGATGGGAGGGATTCTTGTTTGTTCTTATCAATGGACTAAGTCACCCTACCGTGGACTTTGCCTTTAGGACTTAAGGACTTCTCAAAGTACTTGGAGTCAAAAACACATGAGTTTTGAGAGTGGAGCATAAACGTTTAGTGCTCCTCAAATGTGCTCCTGAGGCCACTGTCAGTGGACCCTTCAGAGGAAGCAAGCTCACCGTTTGTGTCGTGATGAAATTCAACAGGGTTCTCCTCATGCACTCTTTGGGCAGCTGAACTTCCAAGTCATCATTTGCAAGCATGCTGTGTTCTGTCTGTTCCTCTCTTCCTCGGCGGCCCTGGGTGGTCAGCTGGGCCTCATGCACAGCTGGGTCCAGGAGAGAAGGCTCACTGGGCTGAACTCTAGATGACACCACTCCTCCCTTGGGCCTCAGCCCGTGTGTTGTGTCTCATGTCACCAAAGGATACTGCAGTTCACAGACTTAGCTTCCTATGTCCGGTCATCTTTAGCTCTGTGGCCTGGTATAAGTCATCTTCCGGGAGCCTGTTCCTCATTTTTAAAGACATAAGTTGGATCAGGTGATGGCTTTATTCTCAGCACTGCTAAGATTGGTAGGCCTGTTGGGATCTAGAATTCTAGGAGATTAACTGTGTTTTGTTAAGTCCTTTTCCTATTCTGTGCCTTAACTTCCTTGAGCTGTTGTGATCTGCTAAGAGAGTAAGGGGAATAGCCTGGGAAGTCACTGTGTTGCTGAAGATCCAGTTACATAGCTGTGCTTTTATAGAGCATTAGGTTACTTTGTGATTTATTTCTTCTTTTCCTCCCGATCTACCAGCAAAAATCAGCTTCCCCATCCTTTTGTTCTGGAAATCACAGTCTGCAAGGTGGGCAAAAGCAGACAGCATTGTATGCCCTCCTCTTAGCCTAACACTTTGACCCTGCCCCTTCAGATTAAAACTTCCTGCTTGTGCAGATGCCTCCGTCTGCACAAGGGTGCTTCTGGAGCTGTCCCATGAGATGCCCCAGACACAGGCTCTGTCAGCTAGCTCGTGTAGCATAATGATCCACTCCACAGAACAACAAATGTTCTCTGCACTCCAATTCTGTGTGAATTGGGGCTCAGCTGGGTGGTTCTTCTGACAGTCTTATTTTGTGTCACTCGGGAAGCCATGATTGTTTATTTTTTTACCTGTGCTATATAATCTAAAATAGCCTCACTCTTACGTGTACAATTAGTGCTGGCTGTTGGCTCAACTGCCCGTCTCTAATGGGCTACACACACTGTAAGACTTAAAAGGATTATTCTAGGACGTAGGCCCTGGTGCACAAGCACTTGTCAAGTCCTACTTGTATCATGAAAGCAAGTTGCATGCAAAATGCAGAACAAATGTGGGAGACGACACAGGTGCACCCATAAGGAACAGCTCATTTCTATATGTGTCTACTACACCAGCCTTGGCGTCGCATCTCCGGAGACCTCATTTCATTTTCACGATAAAGCTTCCTGCTGGCTCTCTCAACCTGCCCAGGGATGGTATCACCCTACACCACTTAGCAATGATGGAGTCAATTCCTCCACTGAGACTCCACCTCCCCTGGTATGGCTAGGTTTGCGTCAAGTTGACAAAAGCTACCATGACATCATCCTACACAAAATGGGAAAACCACTCTCATCTGACTAAAGCCATCATCACTAAGAGCAGAATGTATTTCGTAGACATTTATAATTTACTATAATTCTGATCTCATTCTATGAGTTGGCAATCACTGGCCAATAAATCTCCTTTGTTTGATGTTTTTGTTTGTTTTGTTGTTTTAGAACACTCAGAGATTGCTAGTGTTTGGGAGACACACAGAATGCCACAGGCATGGCTTCATCTAGACCCCACTTAGACTGACTCTGACCCCCCACCCCCAGATTCTGAAACTCAAAGAGAAGCAACCATTTTGCAAGAAGAGGGACTTCCATGTGGGAGGAGTCAGCTGCCAGCTGGAACAAGACCCTGCTCCCAGCTTGGGCTTCAGGGATTCTGTTCCCGGAAGAGATCCTAGGGTCCAGACTCTGCAGCATCTGGAAACTGTCTTGTCACTTCACCATCCCCATCTCTATACATCCTTCTGCTGTCCTCCCCAATGCCTTCCTTCCATCACCTCAGTTAGGGTTCCGTCCTCAGGTGCAGAGCGCTGCCTGGGCTGTCTGAGCCTGGCTGTCTCAGTTCATCTCTTCCTCCCTTGCTCTTTGGATGTGTACGCCTGTCACACCTTCTCCTTGCTTCCTGTGGAGTGGCCGGGTAATTAACCAGAGGCCATGGCTAGAACGCCCATCCCCGCCCCTGCCAGTGTTCTCAATCTCTCTCAGCCATCAATCTCACACACCCTCTCCCCGGGTTGCCCACCAGCAGCTCTGAGGTCTTCTATGTTGGTCTCAGTCATGTGACCTCCTAATACTCCACCCCAAGTAGGGGACTGGCTAAAATTTTTGGGCTGCACAGATGTCTAACCTTTGCACAATTAAAGTATCTTCTCCCGCCTTTCCTTTTGAGAAGGAGCTGGCTTTATTGGAAACTATGCTTCACTTTCTTTCTCTCTGTTTGTGTTAATGCATGTGCTAAAGGTGTGACCAGTTTAAGTTGTAGCGCAAGTGGGAAGAAAGGATTAGTGCTGTATGTCACAAAGCTGGGCTTTGGCAAGGACATCAGTGTATTGCGTCCCAAAGCTGGACCTCGCATTTAGAAAATATTAATATGAATATGTGTCTACATGTGTGTGTGTGTACATGTAAGTGCAGGAGCCAATGCAGGGCCGCAAAGAGCCTCTGGGCACCTGGAGATGGAATTATGGGAGGTTGCGAGCTGCCAGAAGCATGTGCTGGCAACTGCACTCCCACCTCCTACAGGAGTAGCAAGCCATTTCTCTAGCCCTGGATCTGACTTTTAACAGCAGTTTCTTGTCATCTTGAATAAGTATGTTTTCTTTCTCAGGGCCCTTGGAGTCTTATATAATACCTACTTTAGAGTATCTTTGAGTAGCATAAGCAGGGTGATCTATGGGAAGTCACTCTGTTAACACCCACAGACTTTTGTTGCTTCCTGGTACATTTAACTAAAATTTCTTGGTACATTAAGATAAAACCACAGTGCTTTGAAAACATAAGCCTAAACTGAAATATCCGAGACAGATAGCACAGCCGGATGACGATGTATGATCTTCCCCCAAAACATGTTAAACTCTTCATTTCTCAGTCTTTTAATTTCATCCTTTGTGCTAGAAATTGAGTCATTTTTCTTCCTAGGAATGACTGAGCCTTGAATATAGTCTCTGTCATTTACTGGCTGTGTGACTCTTAACCTTGCTTTACTTAGTTTTTTTTTTCTGGCATGATAATATTTCAGATACATATATGCATGCAGGGGTGCAAATATATCATTATAGTATGTACTTAGTCTTCAAAAGTCTGACATTAGGATTCTCCATGCCTATAATTTCCCAGTGTTTATCAAACCTTTTCCTTAACCTGGAGATGAGCCTAAAGGTTGGGATGTTGGACTCTCACCTGGGAAACTACCCTGGCTTATGTACAATGGGACCCACATGCTAGTAGGCTCCTGACTTTCCATCTTCAACAAACTTGTAAGAAAGACACCACTTTGGTCTTGAAATCTCCATATAGAACCATTCTTGGCAAGTCTCAACATGACAGCTGGGCTTCACAATGGCAACTTCCTGTAGATATCAGAAAAAAATCCTGAATGCCCAGTCCACTGAATAAGGCTTGATGAGGGAAACCAGGTATATCCCGAGAATCCAGCTGGGGAGAGTAGACACAGTGCCAGGGAATTGAAGAAAAGGTGCCTTCCAAGCATCTCCCAGTTCATCTCCATTGCCGTGGTCTGGGTTCGTTGGAGACCCCAGAGTTTCTCCCACTCGTTGTCTTGGATTAATTTTCCAAGCAACTTAACAGGTTCCATGTCAGCTCACAATCAGATGGGGCAGAGCTGTGTTTGCTCTGGCTGATCCAGGAGATGGAGGAGCCCACTAAAGCTCCATAGCCTATTCTGGTTGAGGAGTCAACAGAGATGAAGGCCTGGGCAGAACTTGCTGCAGGAGGAGAACCCTGTTGAATTTCATCACGACACAAACGGTGAGCTTGCTTCCTCTGCTTCCTCTGAAGGGTCCACTGACAGTGGCCACAGGAGCACATTTGAGGAGCACTAAACGTTTATGCTCCACTCTCAAAACTCATGTGTTTTGACTCCAAGTACTTTGAGAAGTCCTTAAGTCCTAAAGGTAGAGTCCACGGTAGGGTGACTTAGTCCATTGATAAGAACAAACAAGAATGTCCCCTCATCCTCCCTCCTCCCACTCCACCCCCAACGTAAGAGCAGGCAGAGGACTCATCGTCAAACCCCTCTTTTTATACTAGATATGCCCGTTCCAAAACCTTATTTCTTACAAATTCCCTTACAGCTTCATAGCATAATGACATTTGAGATGTTTTTTATAGAGAGCATAGAATGGCAATTCTATCTTTGAGCATGATTGACTGAAAATTGATTTTTGTTTTTAGGAGTTGAGGCATATCTGTGCTGTGATTTAGATGGGTGTTTTCTATTAGAAAAGTTCACACACACTCCCCAAAGGTGTGATCCACAAAGGGATGCTCCCAGGACCCTGTGAGCTAAAATACCTCCTTCCTTGTCTTAAGTTGCCAAGTGGTGTTTGCCCTGGAGAGGCAGAACTGACTTCCACAGCCGGGCCTCTCACTCATGGCCCAACTTCTTGCTAAGCCTTTGTTTTCTCAGAACATAATCTTTAACCTTTGGCACATTACCGATTTGGAGTACCTCCTTGATCACCTGGCGAAAGTGACACCAGCCCTGGAGTACCTCAGCCTGCTGGGAAACATGGCATGTCCCAATGAGCTGGTCAGCCTGGAGAAGGATGAGGAAGACTATAAGAGATACAGGTGAGTCTTCATTCGGTGGCAGAAAGGAAAAGGGAACTCCAGGCGTGGAATGCTGTGGACTACAATGTTGGTAAATATCTGCAGGCTTCCTTCCCATGATTGTGTTACCCTGTTGTCTTTCAGAAACAGTCATTTTCTTTGTTGGGTTCCTAGGAGCCAAGAATGGATATGGGCTGGTTGAGATTAGGGTCTGAGAAAGGCTTTTCATCATGGGCCAGCTCATAAGCATTTTGGGTTCTACTGGCTCTTGGGACACAGCTCTGGAAGAGTTGGGGAAAGAGGACAGTGTTTTGAGGAGGATTTGACCTACTAGAGTTTATTTAAAATTCTTGTGGCCTACAAAGAAATATGGTGAGAATAATCACTGTGTATCAGTGTAAAGTTGTAAGAAACACTGGAAGTTATTACAGATTTTTAAGGGAACAAAGCCCAAAACACGTAAGATCAAGCAGGGATTCAGCTGTATTTCTATAAAGAAGAGTTTTGTGACTTTAGCTCATTTCAAAGTTTCATGATTAATTTTGTAGAGCTTTGAGGCTGTTCTTATATTGACACAGAACAAATAAGAACCCTTCTTGAAAAAAATATTCATTTTTAGCCATGGGGTGATATAGATTTGAGTGCGACTTCTGGTAGGAGAAATACAGTTGCCCTCCAGCCAGAACAAGTCGCTAATTCCTCACTTTGAGTTGTTTAATTGCTTAGAAGTTAGATGTTTCTTGGAACATTCTTTTTAATTTTGAATCATGAAATTGCTTGATACAAGGTGTGTGAAGTGGTCACTATTTATTTTTATTTTTAAAAGTGTGTTTTTCACCTTACATATCAACCTCAGTTGCCCCTCCCTCCCCTTCCCAGCCCCCCCACTTCCCTCTCTCCACTCCCATCCACTCCTACCAAGCACTAAGACATTCCTTGGGGAGTCAACAAAGTCTGTCCTACCAAGTTGAGGCAGGATCAAGCCCCTCTCCCTGTCTCAAGGCTGAGCAAGTTATCCCAACCATAGGGAATGGGCTCCAAAAAGTCAGTTCATGCCCCTGGTCATGGCACCACTGCCAGGGGTCCCCCCCAAGAGATCAAGTCACATAACTGTCACCTACATTCAGAGGGTCTAGTTCAGTCCCATGCAGGTTCTCCATCTATCAGTCTATTGTCCAGAAGGAGTCACTTTAAACACAATACCTTCTTAAGCCAACAATTTTCAGAATTACATTTTTCTTTTTTTATACTTCTCAATGCATATTAATTGACACATTAATTAGATTCATTATGATATTTCCATATACATGAATATATTATATCCATACACACACACATTGCTCTTTGATAATATCAAACACTCACAACTTCCTTGTTCCTTCTAGTTCACTTAACTTTCCTCAATGATGTCTTTACCACTACTTGAGACTGTATTTGTTGTTTCTGTTATTGTTTAATTCTAGTTTCCACGTATAAGATTAAACCCATGATACTGATTTTATTCTGTGTAATGAGCTTTAGTTCTATGCATTTTCTCTTAGACAAGATGATTTTGTTTTCCTTTGTGACCAAATACTCCATTATCTGTAAATGTATATTTTTTATCCTTTCACCTGTTGGTAGGCACCTATATTTCTTCCTTATCTTGGAAGAAATTTTGAAATCTATCTTGGAAGGTCAAGTGCAAAAACAGTTTATCTAGTAAAAATGTTTCATTAACCATTATTTGAAAATTTTCTCTTCACTTTCTAATGTTTTTCTTTATATTTTTTGTTCCATTCATCAACGCATTTAACTTTTACATGTATAAGAATATGCATGTGTGTGAATACTCACACATTGACACATGTCCACTTATTCATTCGTGTGCCCAAACACAGTGTGTGAACACAAGCATACGTGAGTTGTTCTCTTCTTTTAGGATGTGGAGGGAGAGAGCGAGCATGTGGGAGGAATTTTCTGCCTCTACCTTCTTCTGTTTAGTCTCAGATGTAGGGCTTAGAGGAGCGTAAACAGAAGGGAAGAGCAAACATTTCAGTGTTGACTTTGTAACTGACGAAGAATACTGGGACTCACTGTACAAGCAGTGAGACTGGAAAGCCTAACGTGGAGTTCTGTTTTGACAGGAAGACCATGAAAGCAGAGGTGGCTGTCAGTGGTCCTTAAATGGCTCCGAGTCAACTCAGGGGCTATGGTCTTTCAGCAACAGCTCCATGCTTGGATTTACTGTCTCACCCTGCGTCATGCACCCCACTAAGCGTATCCCTCTCACCACCGTAGACTTGTCCACATTGAGAGCACAGCTATCAGTGAGTAAGGTAGCCCTTGTTCCTTGAAGCCAAATGCAAACCTGAAGTCATGTTTAGTGTGGGAAAGTGGCTGGGTGGCTATCCTGGAGATGCTTGGAGTCAGTCTTCCTTCTTAGAGCTGTGTTGCCCCAGGGACCTTCGAGTCCGTGTTTTCCCCCTGCCCTCTTGGCACCAGATCCCGTTAGAAAGCAGCAGCTACCATTCGGAGGACTCAGTCCAAGTCTCAGTGGTGGGTCACAGTTTTTGCAGAGGGTTTGTTCCTCAGGGATTCACCTGGGCGGTCCCCAAGGATGTCCTCCCACCCCGTTTGTATGGCTGGCAGGGTGTGAGAGACGGAGCCAGGAAGGCTGTCTGTTAGTGTATTTATGACAAGGTTTCCATGAGGGAATGGATTCTAGAGCTTGCACACAGCCCAAATCACATCTAGCCACAATTGCCTTTGAAATCCCACAAGCTATCCACACGGTGACTGCCAGCTCCTCAGACCCGGAGAAAAGGCTGCAACCAGGGACCACAGAAACAGTAAATGTGTTACACCTTCACTCCATCATGGGGGGAAATGCTGGGTTGGTTCTCTAATGTGCTTAAATCTTTTATTCAGTTTTTTATTGTTGACTTGATAAGTCCTCGCCCTTGCGTTTGAAAGGGGAGATGCGGGCCAGATGCAGTTCAGCTCTGTGGTCTTTGCTTTCTTTACCCTGGGTGGTGATTCATTTGCTCCTGAGAAATTGTAGGGTTTCACAACATGACTTTTGGATTCAGAGTCCCTGTGGCATATCCACTTAGACAAAGCACTACAGCTGCCTTCCCTGAGTTGGGTAAACTGTTTTCATGCCCCTTCACCCACCAAGTATGAAGTCCACTTTCTTTCTAGCTGCTACCTAGATTACTAGAGTGGAGTCTATGTAAATTTATAGGACATTTTTGCTAGGAAATGTCTTAAACCATGAATAATATTTCTATAGTTTACTGTTTTTCATTTTAAGTATTTTTTGACAATCCATCTTCTATTAATCATTTAAGCAATAGTGGGAGCCTTAAAGGAGTGTGTTCAGAAGCAAGAACCCATGGTTCATTTAGTGCTGTTGAAAAAAATTTCCTATTGATTGGCATCCTCTGTGGTCATGTGATGTAATATTTATGTCACCCAGCTGTCCATCAAAACAAGTGTGTCTGTTGTTTGGTTCCCATGGGAGATGTTGATTTCAAAGATTTCAGCTCAGTGTTAGTTTGTATTGTGGCCAACCACTGGACCTTGGATGGGAAGTGACCAGGTTTATGGACAATGTGCTGTTTGGCCATCTCTCCTCCCCTTGCCCCAGTGCCCACCCCTTTGGTTCCTCACTTAACCTCTGTGTGCCCAGTTGGATTTTCTTGGCATATACCCCCACGGTAAAAGAGGCTCACTTAGGTTCTTTGTGAACATGGACACACTACTGTGTGGCTGAGCAGAGCCCTGGACCTGCTGGGGTAGGAGTATAACCATGTCCAGGCTTCCCTCTGCCACTTGTCATTGCTGATGGCTGAGACATGGACATGGCCGTCTTACCACAGGACCTTCAAGCCACTTGTATTTCCCTGTGTGTATACAGCACTGCTGTTACAGAATGAGTGCTGAGTGAATTTGAACTTGGACCTCTTGCAAATTTCGATACCATCCAAAATCAAAACAGTTCTATGTCAGGGGGGAGAGGCCTGGCTGCTCTGAATAGTTTATCTGAGTCTTTCCTGGTAGTTCTTTTGAGGGACTAGGAGGCAGACAGATTTCCTTGTAGACAGACAGTCAGAGCAGGCCATTAAGAGATAATAGATAGTGAAATTCCAAGATGGCCGGCTTCTTCCTTATCCTCCTGACCTGAGAGAAAGCCTGTCAGTTTAAGACAAAGGCGTTTCATCCCACCACCAGCCTCCGGACAAGTTCAAGCCTCGGCAGGACATGCTAACCCCATCAGCCTTCCTGCCTTTGTTCAAACTGACCAACTCTACACTGGGGGAGAAGGCTTCCCTCACAGACCCTTAAAACGGTCAGCCCTCAAGGAGAGCCTGGGCCGTAGCTTCCTGAGACCCTCTGCTTCCTCAGGGTCTTTCTCTCAATGTTCCTGCTGTGTGTGTGCGTGCGTGCGTGCGTGCGTGTGTGTGTGTGTGTGTGTGTGTGTGTGTGTGTGTGTGTGTTGCAAGGTTTTGCTGCCTCTACCTGTCTCGCTTCAGATATTTCCTGCCTTCTAATTCTTTACCTGGCAAAGAAAACAAACCCCATCAAGACCCCAAGATGGTAACACTTTCTGGACTTTTTTTCTTTTTCTTTAGGAAGAATGCTGGCTGACTGTTAAGAGGGAATGAAGGCTGAATGTCCCCTTTCAAATAAGAAATCTGGACTCTGAGGCTTGGGGCTGATCTTTTGTGACACGCTCTGGTGTGCATTTTCTTCAATTTCTGTTCCTTCAGGGCTCTGGTTGCATACATTCCTCCCCCCCACCCCCAAGTAGGTATTCCTTAAAACTTTAAATTATTTAAAATATGATTCCTTTTCTTTGTTCCCCGTAGGCAGCAGCCCTGAGGCCTGCCCAGTGTCTGTAGCACCCCACCAAAAGAAGGGTGGGAGGGAGCCTCTGGTGGTGTCTGGGGCCACCTTGGGCTACCACCCAAGGCTATTTCCCACTAAATGGGGCTGTAAAACCTGTGGCTTATAGAACCCAGCTAGCATTCCCCAGC